CAGCCAGTTGCTTTCATGGCATCAGTAGCAAACAAATCACATTCCTTCACCCCTCTCTGTATTTCGCATAAACCAAGATTACAGACAACATCACTTCTATCAAATGTATTGGTATGCCAACACTTGTTCTACTTTGTGAAAGATTTTAAAATATACAAGTAATATTTTTTAAGATTTGGAATTTGTGGTGGCCTTAAAATTCCTTGTTAGTTGTAGGATTGAGTAAGAAACGCTACACTCTAGGTCAGCCTTTCCTGAAAGTCCTGCAGAGAAGGACTTGGTATTGGTGGATGAAAACCTCGACATGAGCCAGCAAGCACTCACAGACCAGAAAGCCAGTCCTGTCATGGGCTGCATAAAATGAAGTGTGGCTAGCAAGTCGAGGGAGGAGATTCTCCCCCTCTATTCTGCTCTGGTGAGACCCCACCTGGAGTACTGTGTCCAGCTCTGGGGTCCTCAGTACAAGATGGACATCGACGTGTTGGGGCAGGTCCAGAGGAGGGCCGCAATAATGATGAGGGGGCTGGAACACCTCTCCCATGAAGAAAGGCTGAGAGAATTGAGGTTCTTCAAAGAAAAGAAGGCTCCAAGGAAACCTTATTGAGGCCTTTCAATATAAAAAGGGGTCTTATAAGAAAGATGGAGAGAGACTTTTCACCAGGTCCTGTAGTGACAGGACAAGGGACAATGGATTTATACTGAAAGAGGGTAGGTTTAGATTGAACACAAGGAAGAGTTTTTTACAATGGGGGTGGTGAGACACTAGAACATGTTGCCCAGAGAAGCTGTGGATGCCCAGTCATCAGGAGTGTTCAAGGTCAGGCTGGACGGGGCTTTGAACAACCTGGTCTAGTTGAAAATGCCCCTGCCCATGGCAGGTGAGTGGGACTGGATGATCTTTAAAGGTTCCTTCCAACCCAAACCTTTCTGTGATTCAATGAATGCTGTGTCTGGGAAGGAACAAGTAAAGGGTTTAGGATTCACAGTTATGAGACTTCCATGGGGAAGTGGGACCTGGCCCTACATTTCACAGGGTGCAATGCCAAGCAGTTCTGGGGATGCACCTCCTCTGTAGACCTCCTCCACCTTTGGGTGGAGGTCCCAATCCCATTGCAGCCCCCAGTTTCCCCAAATCTCCACCTTCTTTCCCCAAGCCTCCACCTTCCTACTCCACACGTAAGCAGCACTGCTCCCCTCCAGAGAGATTAGGCAAGCAACAGTGCTGTCCACCCCTGCCCAAAGCATGTCCAGGATCCCTTCAAGTACTGCCATCATCATTTGTATATGGCTTGGTGTGCCTTGGGGTAGATTCATATAATTCCTGCAGAAATGGTGAGCAAAACTGTGTGGGGAATGCAGTTCTGGGCAGAAATTCCTCATCCTTACAGGATTTCTACTTAAGGTCAAGGAGGAACATGGGGAGGATCTTTGAGAGCATTCAATTAACCCATTGCTTGTTCCGTGTCCAGCCTCTGAGCCCTTGGAAACCGGGCTTCTTCAATTGCTGCTGAAGTGGAAACCAGGGGGTTTTACCATATGAGCTGTGTCTGGTGGTGTAGAGGGCAAGCACTCCCCCGAGGGGATGCCAGCCTTGCTCCATGCTGGTGCCAGAGCCCATGAGCTTTGCAGTGGCCCACCGCGTTTCCCATATCCGCTTGCTACAGCGTCTTGATGCTTCTGTTCAGATGATTTAGGTTCACGTCCTGTCACAAGTGACTGATTACATTTGCACCCCTTGTCCCTCCAAGTCCAGAGTCAGGCTCTAAAATAACTCTGTGTCTTTTACCTGACCCAGGAGAGAGGTGTTTTAGACAGAAATCTTATTAATGATGCAGGTGCAGGGCTCAGTAAAGTGGAGGCACCTCAGACTTCAGCTGAATAATTAAATCCCATCAATAGGACTTTCCAGGGCCGCTATTTAAAATTAATAACTCCAAATGCAATTCTGGCATATAATGGAATCTACTGAAATGGGATTTTTAATTTTTTTAAGAAAACAAAATGCTTTATAGCATTGCTGGCAATTTCACAGCCACCTGCCTCTCAGCCCCAGCTGTTGACAGCTAGGAGAGAGATATTTTTAATATGAATATTTTTAAGCTCCAACACATAGGAAATGGCTCCAAAGCCAGCACCCAGCATGCTGGTGCTCAAGTTTAATGGACTTCTAGTGTGCTAACAAGTAAATCAAGAGGAAGTGAGGAAGTCCTGTTTGGAGAAGCGTGTCTCCTCTGCCTAAGCAGATGGGAAAACAAGGGATTGTCTAGGTTTGTAGCAAAAGCTACATGTTCTGTGAAACTGAATCTTCCCTTTCCCCAGAAAGTATCTCACTCATAACTAGCAGCTTTAACTGTGGTAAATGTATTGAAGAAGCCAAAAGACACCATCCCTGGCCGTTTGAAGTTACTCACAGATTTGCACACCCGTGCAGGTATAGTAGGATAAAATGTAAGGTTCATGGGAAAGCACCAGAGCTTTCCTCCTTGGACACTCCCCGAGTAGCACTGGGGACATCTTTGTGCTGGAATGCTGTTCATCATTTTTTTCTGGCTTAGCTTCATGCACCACCTAACAGGAGCTCAACAAAGTTTGACTAGAGCTGCATTACTTTTCTCCCCCTCTTCATTACCTTGGGGAGACATTCAGCTCCTGTTGTTTTGCATATTTTGTGATAGGGGTTTTGACAGTCAAATCCTCCCCTGCTTAGGCCAGCTCCTTCCCAGCTGTCCTTGCATGCTGTCAGAAAGATGTGTTTAATATAGGCCATGACCTCTAGTAGTAGGCAAACAGAGATAAGTGCTTCTCTCCCTGGTATTTTTCAGCTGGCTGAGTCAAGCAGCTGCTTGAAGAATCCCCGGTGGAGGGGTTGGTCCAGTTTTCCCATGGGAAGCAAGAGGATAGTGCAGAGTGGCAGCCTTTCAGGTTACACTTGCTGCAGATCACAGAACAACTGGGAACATACCCTGCTGTCAGGGAAGATCTGCAGTGCCCATGGGTGTCATGGGGTAGGTAGCCCCCAACAACAATGCTGCTTTCTCTGTCTTTATCTGTACAAGACACAGGGAGGAAGAAAATTAGCTGCAAATTTGATGCCAGAGTCAATTTTCCCTGGAGAGATCTTTTATTTCTAGAAAAGTCATCTTGCTTTAAAAACGTGATTTTGACAGTGACAGGCTAAGTGGCTTTGCATGTAGAGAGTTGGAAATGAAACCATCGACCTGGTATCACAGGCAACTGGGCAAGAGAGTGGGAGAAGAGAATTACTCTTTTCCCAGGAGAAATTGAATATGCTACTTCTGAAGTGGAGGAGAGTGCTCCTTTTGGCAGGAAGAGAAGGGCTACTTCCCCAGTGATCTTCAGGAAAAGCAAAGACACAAAAACTGGGTTAGCCCAAATAAAACATGTGCAGACTCAATGCAGGAATGATCAGAAAATAAATGAGGGTAAGACTGGAAACTAGCTCTAGAAGGGCACAATTTAGCAAGAGGCCATGAAGTATCTCTGTTTCCCATGGTCAGGATCTGATGCCAGACAAGCAGAAAGGATGGGAAGTGTTTTATCCTCAGGTTTAGTCCCTTGTCAACAGAGCCTGCTAGATCATGAGTATCCCTGCATACCTGTAATTAGCGCACCTGTACCCTCCCCTTCCCCCCCCCAACCCCAAACCTGAGTGGTGGCCCTGGAGCCAAATTATGGGCCCAGACACCAGGACTGCTTCTGCTGGCTTTGGGCAGCACCTGAACCCTGCTTGGAACTGGGTCTTATCTTCACACAGCCATGCTTTCTCCCAGGCCTGCAGGCTTTTGTCCCTCTCCTCTGCATCCTTTGTTTGGCTTTACCAGCCAACACTGCAATATTTTCTCTGTCCAGGGGTGACCTCATGCTCAGAAAGGCATTTGGCAGAAACCTGGTGAAGGCTTGTTAGTACTCAGAGGGCCTGAAAATATGATTTTTCCCCTGCCTGTCTGTTAAGGATAGGAAAGACGGGAACTGAACCTGAGCCTTTGAAATCCGTAGTTTTAGTAATTAGTAAATTTAGTTGTTTGGTGCAGTGACTATCACTCTGCCACCGGGTCAGTTCTCTCCAAGCGGGAGCGTGGTGAGATGCACAGGGCCATCCAAAAGAGAAGGCATCGCTCTTATGAGAGCTCTCCACAATGAAGAAGAGAATAAAAGCTTTGAAACTGGTTGCCCTGTGGCCCACTTTTCATTTTAAATTATTTTCTTTCTCTTTGTGGCTCCGAAGTAATAGTTTACAGCACGCTTTAATGGTAGCAGTTACAACATGAGAAGGTGGTGGGAAGTGACTGTTCCCAGACCCCCAAAGCATGCTCGAGTATGCAGTGCTTTACAAAGACAGTGACGTTTTAAAACCTCCAAACCTTTGGCCACAGTGCATCGCTGGCATTTGTAAGGGGTAAGGTCATGCAGCTCGGGAGATCCGGGTGTCCACAGCCCCCGTCAGCCTGCCGAGCGGCCTCGATGGAAAACGGCTCCGCTCCCCCCCTGTAGCAGCGGTGGAAATTTCCATGCATATTTCTCTGAGCCCTAGGAGCAAAGCTTGGCCGAGGATCCTGAAGCAGGCAGTGTTTAGGATCTGGCCAGATGTCTGCAGCAAAGGAAACAAAGCGCGGCAGGAAGGTGGCAGAGTTGCTCTGACTAACCAGAGGTGTCATGGGCTTTCGCACCCTCCAAGACGGAAACACACTTATTTAATGGGGACGAAGGTTAATCTCGGTTTACTTGCGGGGCTGGATGAAAAACGAGACTTTGCCTGGTGCAGGAATGACGCGGAGATCAGCAACACAAGCACTTTTGCTGTTACCTCACGGGCGAGCTGTGCCCTCTGAGTCGAGCGCCTCACAACCCTCGCCGCGATACCGGGGCTGACGAGAGCCCGGGCCGGCGGGTGCCGCCACACAGCACGGGCGCAGTGAACCGCCGGC